CTTAAGTATTGTATTGCTATTTTATAGCATATATGATATAATCGATCATATTCAACAAAAAAAAATCTGGAAAAAATCATAACTATTGAATTCGTATTTTGATAAAATCCTTGTAATCTCTCTAAAAATCAAAAAAAAATGATGAGCTTCGGTGAGTGTAATGAAAATAAAAAAAATGGATATTTAACCTAAACCGCAAACAATTAGCCTTGATCGTTTTCCTCAGAAAGGTCCCCCTTAAATAAACAAAAAAAATTAAATAAACAAATAAACTATAAAATATATGCATAAAATGAGTTCTTTTATGAGATATAAAATAAAAATAAATTGACAAGGTTTGTTAGGTCCACGCCAAGTCCCGAGTCCACAAAAAGTCCATGAAAAGTGCATTTGTCCCGGACTTTTAACAAGTCTATATTAGAAAATATTGAGTTTAGACTCATCTTCTTGAATTTACTAAAATTTAAATTTATTTCTTTTTTCTACATTATCATTCTTCCTTTTAATTAAAATAAAAAACTTCTCTATTTGATGGCAAATAGAATTAAATGAGATTCTCAAATTTTTTCTTATCAAATTTCAATTATATTGAAATACATCAGCATTAAATTTTAGTTTTTATACAAGATTCACTCATTCTCACAAATAAAATATTCATTGTTTCTGTAAAAATGATACTGGATAGATTTACTTCTTGAATTTATCAAAAAAAATGTTGATAAAGAAAATATAAAATTTAAAAATTCAAAACAAATGTCTTCATTTTAAATTAGGTTACTTTTTACACTCATATTGATTAACTAAATAATAATATTCAATTTATCAGATTTGAAAATTCGATTCCATCATTTAATTTATCAGTTATAAATGAAACCGAATTTAGATTGAAAATAATTGATAAAGATTATAATATTGTAAAAGTTAATAAAAGATAATATTTTGTGATGATGAACATATATAATATTTAATCAAAAAAAATTTTTTTATCCTTTAATATATTTTTTTTAGATTTTTAATCTTTTTAGATACTTTATTATCAAAGACACAGAATATAAAAAACATGCCATGAAAATTTATATTGAAAAAAAAATTTAAGAACGTTATATTGAAATTGAGGGACATTAAATTTCATTGAAAAAGATCTCAATTATTTCAATACTTTACATTATACTTAATGAAATATATATATATTTTTTTTTGTAACTTGCTTGAAATGAAAAGCACAAGATCAAATAAACGAATGAGAGGAAAGATAAGAATAACAAGAATTTGTGTTCCGACATTTCAAGAAGAAATAACAATCAACTTTAATGAGCCAGGCAAGAACCTGAGTGATCTCCAATGTAATAATGTATTAAGAATGAAATATCATATTGATTACATTGAAAATCAAATAATGAACCAAGACAAACAAGATAGACGAGATAAAAACGAAAAAGAAGATGAAACAGAAAAAGTTGAAGAAGAAAATGAGGAAGATGGAAAGAAAGAAAATTCATTCACAATATTTAATATTGATGAAAGTGAAGATGATAAATATTTTATACCAGAATATGAAGAAATATTTGATTTTGATTTTTAACAGAGAAAGATTTATTTTGCAATTATTTTTTTTTTATATATAAGTTGATAATTGACAATCATTAGAGTAAAATATCTTTTTGAATCTTTCATTTTTATCATTTATTAGAAATTGATTTTTTTTATATTATATTATATCATGCTAATTTTAAAAATTTTTTAAATCAAAATCATCAAAATACAAAAAAGATAGAATTTATACAAATTTTTATATAAATTCATCTAATTCCTTCTTATAAATTTCTAATCAAATAAGTATTCAGCTATAAATTTGAATTTTTAATTAAATTTTGTATTTAATGTATATCAAAACTTTTTGAAAACATATATTCAAAAATTTTATAAAAGAATTGCATATTATGAAATTTGATGAAAGAATAACATTTTAATTCAAAACATTTTCAACAAAGAAAATTTCAATTAAAATTTACAATTTTAAGAAATGCAATATAGAAAATTTTAAAATTTCTTATCATAAATTGTGTGATCTTTTAAATCTCTTAAAAGCAAAAAAGTTGCAATTGTTATTTTCAAAATATAAATCTCTTAAAAGCAAAAAAGTTTCTGAAGATTCAAAATATTCATAATATTGGATAAAATGTAACAAAAAGGAAATGGTAGAAAAAAAAATATCAAAAAATGGTTGCTGTGGGGTTCGAACCCACGCCCTCTCGGACCAGTGCCTTAAACTGGCGCCTTAGACCACTCGGCCAAACAACCCTTCTATTTTAATAGAAATAAAGGTTGCATTAGATCATAACTTTTCTAATTTTTTTTTTATCATATTAGTCATTTCATGAGAAAAAAAAAAAAATATAGAAATTAAAAACTGTTTGCTTGAAACAAATCAAGAAAACTTAAAAATAATAAAAAATATATAAAATAGCAAAATTATACTTTTATTTAAAACTTAATTTCGATGCTTTAATTGATGTCGATTTGTGGTACGTCGTCAAGCGACATTGAAGGCAAAGATCCATCAAATAACTTTTCAAATTCGAACACGATGATCTCGTTCTTTCCAACCTTCAACAAGTACTTAGGAATGTAGAGAGTCAGTTGCGGTCCAACTGTCCAATAACGGCCAATATTAAAACCGTTAACGAACACAACGCCGCGTCCCCATCCCTTCGGATTCAAGAAAGTGTCGCCGATGTCACTTTCGCTGTCAATCACAAACTCAGTCTTATAGAACGATGGCACGTTAACCGCAAAAGTGGACTTGAATTTGAGGTCATTAATATTTGTCAAATTGAATCCCGTCATTTTCCAGTTTTTCAATACATAACCGTCAAGTTTTACATTGTTTGTAATTCCCTTTTTCTCGAAGAAGTCGCCGCCGTAGTTCAGCCTTCCCATGTTTTCGACCAGGATGTCAAGTTGGCCTGTTCCATTCAAAAGGGTGCACTTTTTCTCCTCACCGTGCTGGACGATACAATTCAATTCATGGTTCACAAAAATGTAACCACGATCTTTACAATGTGGGATATCGACGGTTTGTCCATTCGAAATGTTGGACTGATACAGGACGAATCCGAAATCGACGTCCAAATCCTCCATTGTCATTGGGAGCTCAGAAAATTGAGACACAAGGCCAATTGTCTCAATTGCCTCAAAAAGTGACACACCCTCAGAAAAAGTGATTTTTCCATAATTTTTTTTGGTTGAATTTTTGACATCGAGATCAGGGACCTCCATGTATTTCTGACAGACCTCTCGAATTTTTGAGTACTTCCATGTCATGTCACCGGCCTCACTCAACGGCGCGTCGTAGTCGTATGATGTCGGATCAGGCTGATAAGAAGAGGAGTCACCATTTGCGCCGTTGTAAAAGTAGAAGTTTGTGCCGCCGATGTACATGTACATGTTGACGCTTGCGTTCATTGAGAGCATCTTGTCGAGGCTGTTTACAACAGCGTCTGTTGACACTGTGTGATGCTCTTCGGTCCAATGGTCGAGCCATCCCGTGTAGAACTCAGAGTTAACGTACGGACCGCTTCCGTAGTTCCAGTATCTTTCCTCTTCGAAGTTGCTTGTTGGATCGCCAGTGCCGAAGTCGACTGTTGCGTAAGCACGGCCGAGGATTGCTCCGCTTCTGAGGAAGTATGACGATGGCCCGTCGGTTGTGAACAGTTGGGTTTCTTTGCCTAATAATTCTTCGGTTAAGTCACATAATTTAGTAAGGTATTTGCGGTCACCTAATAACGGCGCATAGGAGCCAAATTCGTTCTCAATTTGAACCATGATTATGTTGCCCCCGTTATGATACATAAACGGTTTGATCCTTCTGAAAAGTTCCGTGTACCAGTCCGTAACGTGCGAAATATAAACACTGTTGCTCGAGCGAACTGAAATCTTGTTCTCGCGAAGAAGCCAGTAGGGAAGACCCCCAAAGTCCCACTCCGCACATATGTAGGGACCCGGACGAAGTATAACGTATAATCCAACTTTTTGAGCAAGTGTAAGAAATCGTTCAATATCTGCCATACCTTCAAAGTTGTATTGCCCTTTGCGGGGTTCATGGAGGTTCCAAGCAACATAGGTTTGTAGTGTGTTGCATCCCCCATGACGCATTTTCTTCATCGTCTCTTCCCAATAATTTGGATTTTGTCGAAAGTAATGAAATGAACCTGAAATATAACGAAATGGTTTCCCATCCATTTGAAATTCATTACCAACAATTTTAAATGATCGTTCACATAAAGAAAAATATGAGAAAAATGGAATTAAAACAAACATTTTTTTTTAAATTTTTAAAATTGACCTTTAAAGGTCAATATCGATGAATTGTTTTTTAAATTTATTCGATCATTTTTCAATAATAAAAAAATTCCTAACTGATTTTAAACATTTCTTTAATTATTCAAAAAAATATTTTTAATACCGTTATGCCTAATATTAATTAAAAAAAGTGGAATTCATTATTATGCAAACAACTTTTTTCAGAAGAAAATAATCGTTCATTTTTTTGAGCTTTTTTTTCATGGAAAAGATTAAAATTCTTTGAATTTTTTTATTGATTTCTACATTTCTGTCATATAAAGAGTATGTTAAATGCGAAATAATTGAAAATATTCAAAATTCAAGTCATTATTTGTTTAATATTTTTTCAGGAAAATGGTTGATTATGGTAATCAAATGGCTTATTTGGCTGCTTAAATTTATATAATTTGGTATTTAATGGTCAAAATCAGTATTGAATAAAGAAAAAAAGGTTTAATAAATTTATTAAAGGAGTGAAAAAAGCATGAATCAGACAAACAAGCTGATTAAGCGTTTATAATTTGGAATATATTAAAGAATTAAAAATTTTTATTATTAAAAATATTTAATAAATGTTTTATACAAAGTTGTTTACTATATAAAGAATACATAAAGCTATTATTCTAATTAATCATAATTCTTATAATAAATTAGAAGGGAGCTTAGCTCAGCGGTAGAGCACTATAGGGGTAGTGTAGAGGTCGGAAGTTCGAATCTTCTAGCTTCCATTTTTTCACTTTTTTTTCAGTTTTATATATATATATATACACTTTCAATATATAAATCAATATCATTATGATGACATTTAACACATTCTATGATTGTTTTCTTTTACATTTGAATAAATAATTAAAAATTCATGTTGATTGTTTAAATTTTCTCAACTAACAAGTTAGATTACGCAATAAAAGTTTAATAAGAATGAAAAATAAATTTATTTTATAACCAAAAATCAATATCATCATCATAACTATTATCGCTGCTATAATTTTTATCTTCCTGATTCTCTTCTTCTACTTTTGAAAGGTTTTCTGACGATATTGAAAAATCAAAATCTGAATTCACTATATATTTTCTTCTCAATACAAGTATAATCACAGTTAAAATGGAAAAGAAAACAAAAGTCGAACAACATACAATTCCAATAAATTGTTCTTTTGTCAAAACTTTCGATTTAACTTGGAATGGTATATATGTGATAGTGTAAGAAGGCGAATAGAAAAAGATAATATATGGAAGATTGTATTGATAATGACTTCCAGTGACTGTTAATGTGTAAATATTCAATTCTTTTATGTAACTGAGTAAATAAGAATACGAATTTGAATATATAATCGAAAAAGAAACAGATCTTCTCCCAACAAATGTTGATGAATAACTCATTGAAAAAGTGACTTTTCCTAAATAAAAAGTTGATTGATAAGTTATCGAACAAATATTTTCAGAATTTGAATTTTCTTGAGTTGATATGATATCAAAACCAATCGTTTGTGATGATGTAAATTTTAAACTATTTGAAAATTTAACACTTGGAGTAAATTTATTTGATGATGCAAAATTATTTGAATTTGTGAATTCATTTGTTTTTGTAAATATCATTGACATTGTAAAATTGTTTGTCAATGAAAATTTATCAGAATTAGAGAATCCAATTGATGGTGAAAACATCAAAGACGAACTGAATTCTTTGGTTGATGAAAATGCATCAGTTTTGGAGAAAAAATTTGAATTAGAGAAATCAATTGATCTTGAAAAAAAGTCTGAATTAGAAAACATCACTGAACTTGTAAACATAAAGGAATCAGAAAATTGTAAAGAAAATAAGAAATAATCTGATTGCGAAAATTCTTTAGATTCAGTAAAATCACCGGTAATCGAAAAAATGTCAGAATTTGTAAAATGCAAAGATTTTGAAAACAAATTTGATTCAGAAAATTGAGTAGAATGAGTATATTCAAATGAAGAAGAAAATTGATCAGAGAATGTGAATTCATCTGTTTTAACATGAATACATTGTAAAGTAATATTATCTAAATAATATAATGAAGAACATTCTTGACATTCCATAAAATTATTTTCACAAAAAATACAGTTTTTATCAAAACATTTTTGGCAAATTTTTTCGTTATTGCTCTTTCCATAATAATCATTATTTGTTTCATTAGATAAATCAGAACAATTCAAATAACATTTATTATCGAAATAAAAATAATTATCTTTGCAAGTATCACATGAATCAGCAGCTTTTGAACATGTACCACAATTTTCAGAACATAAAAGACATTCAAAATCCATTGAAAAAGTTCCATTTGGACATTCATAAAAACATTGATTGTTATACAGAGAATAATTTTCAATACAACTAATACAATTTGAACTATTAATTGAACAATTATAACAAGGCTCATCACAATCAAAACATTCATCAACTTTTTGATATGTTGCTTCTGGGCAATTTAAAACGCAATGACCGTTATATTTTAAATAACCGTTTTTACATCTTTCACATTTATCACCTGAATCTCTACAAAAAATGCAATTTTCATCTTCACATTCCCACAATTTTGTCACGATAATTGATCCATCTCCTTCATTAACACCAACATCAATAGACACATTAAAGAAGCACAATTCAGCATCTAAATTTGTTGAACAATTATTCGCATAAGATGTTCCACTATCAGCCGTCATAGGCCAAACTTGACCACTATATACATCAGCATCACCTCCACAATAACCTCAACCACCTCCACTGCATGGTGTGTCATCTCTATCGGGTCCATCTTGGCCTATTCCCGATGGATGCTTACAATATTCGTCCCAATCACCAAAGGTGTTTGTAATTATTGAACAAAAATATTCATCTGGACTATTATCTCGACTTATTCCACAAAGAGCACCACCCGGATTACCTGGATAAAATGTCCCTCCTGAGCCTCCAGATGCAACTAGTTGTCTTGTTGTCATGTCATTATAATTTAAACGTATATCTGTCGATCCTCCACCGCCACCTGCTGCATTATCTGGTGATTTTATGCCTCCTTTTCCACCTCCATTAAATCCTCCATCACTTCTGGAATTCGGCGAACCTGGATTTTTATCATTGCCAACGCCGGCACCACCGACGAATACATAATATAATATTGGCGTGTCTGATGTGATAAAACATTCTGCATAAACATGAGCTCCTAAACCTCCAGTTCCAGATTTTTGTCCATCGGTATAACCAAAACCTCCTTGTCCTCCATATAAATCAAATATATATTTTCCTCGTTTTAAATACATTTCTTCACCTTTATTAACACATTCAAATCGATGTTTACCATTTTGATCAAATTGTAAATAATTTATTGTTATTAGATTGAGCAAGATATTTATCATATTTTTTTGTTATAACTTTATCTTTTTTTTTCCGTTAAATTTGAATAAATTATTCGTTTTTAGACAATCAAGAAATCTTGATAATTTATATAGTTATATATAAATATAATCAGATATATTTATTTATAAATATAATTGTAAATTAAAAATTTTATTATTTATATATTTATTATTTTATTTTCATAGATATTGAACATTAAATAATTTGTGATACTAAGTTGATTTTAACTTTTTGAAATAATTTCTATATAATATTTTTTTTTTTTTTTAATAGTTACCAATATCTTATAAAAATACCTAATTTTTATAAATATTATAATTAATATAAATTAAATACAATATTTTAACTATATATTTTTATTATATTTTTATTTAAATCCATGGTGTATCGATTGATTTCTTTTTTATTCGGCATATTATTAATTGAAAATTTGAATAGTTTATATAAAAAAATGGAACGCATTTTTATCTTTATATCGTTAAATTATTTTACTAAATTTATTTTAATTATAATATTTATAAAAATTTATTTTATTTATAAAAATCGCAATGTTTTTATTATATATAATGGAAGCATTATATAAAATAATATCATCTTTGGATATTTCATCAAAACTTTTAATTTTCAGCCTTCTTTTTTTTCACTTTAAATGAAAAACTTAATATATATAGCTAAAAGTTATATTTATCGAGAGAAATTGTTATTTTTGGAACCTATGATCAGATACAGTCTTTTCGGTTTGATAGGGGAAAAATTCATTTTGATAGTGGAAAAGTTCATTCTGATAGTGGAAAAATCGTAAACAAACAATAATTTGTTATAATTTATTGTTTTTTAGAATGATTAATACATATATATTATATTTATTACATTCATTAATCAGATAAACAATTAATAAAATGATAATCAGAAAAAAAAATTTGTTCCATTAAGCATTTATTCTATAATTATAATATGATATATATTTATTTCTTTTAATATATAAAATAAATAAAATTATTAATTAAATCAATTTTTAATATAGATATTTGTGTTTTATTTTTTTACTATGACAAATGAAATGAAATTTTTTTTCAATTTTTTTTTATAGAACACATGAAAAAATCATTAGTGATCCATTAAATGAATCTTCACCAAAAATAGCTTGGGAATTAATAATAAAATAATGGGAAGATATGCTTGAATTATTTGCCAAAACGTTTGACAATGTTTAATAAGTAAAAACAAAGATTGCAGATTTGAATAAATTATACATAAATCAAATATTATTATATAATCTAATATTTATGTATCAAACATAAAAAAATATCTTTTGTTTTTTAAGAAAAAACCATTTTTTGTTAAATTTAAAATTGTGAAGTTATTTGAAAAAGTTGGTAATTTATATTTTTTTCAAAGGACTTAGCTCTCAATTTTTTTTTTAAAAAAATTAATTAATTTAAAACATTTTAGTGTAATTTTTGAAAACTGCTTATTTATTGGCGTTATTTAACCATTTCGCGTTGCCTTCATGAATAATGGTTTTATTGATAAATCTTTGATCGTTAAAACTATTAAAGATCTTTTCATCAACATAAGTTTTAGTTAAGCATTCATTTGTATTTTGATTATTTCGATTTAAACGAATTTTCGATTTTTAAAACAATTAAAACATTGTTCAAATTCTGAAAAAACTGTAGAAAATTGCGAGACAAGTTGCAGTACCTAAATAACTAGACTATAAAATGAGCTAATATTTTCTTATCAAGCTTTCATATTTATTGAAAATTGAAATGTTGAAAAGAAATCAATAATAATGCTTATAACAATGACCATGCCTGACAAGTATCATCAAAGTACATCATGATATTTTGGGATATACCTTAAATGTCGGAGAAATTTACTTCCTCGAAGAGATTGCTATCCAATTTTAAAAAACTAATGGATAAAGAACTTTTTCATTTCATTTGTCATAGTAAAAAAATAAAACACAAATATCTATATTAAAAATTGATTTAATTAATAATTTTATTTATTTTATATATTAAAAGAAATAAATATATATCATATTATAATTATAGAATAAATGCTTAATGGAACAAATTTTTTTTTCTGATTATCATTTTATTAATTGTTTATCTGATTAATGAATGTAATAAATATAATATATATGTATTAATCATTCTAAAAAACAATAAATTATAACAAATTATTGTTTGTTTACGATTTTTCCACTATCAGAATGAACTTTTCCACTATCAGAATGAATTTTTCCACTATCAAACCGAAAAGACTGTAATGAATATCGAAGACTCTTTAGAGAGAAAAAAAAATCCAAGAACAACTAATGTTATTCCTTATAGATAT